ACACACACACACAGCTGTGGATCGACTAAAGGCTGAAAGAGCGAACGAAGTAAAACAACCTCAAAATGTTCAGTCATGACAGAAGCGTCTGGACGAGATGCAGTTGAGACATGAAGAGAAAAACGTTTGGACACTTTGTGCTTCGGTCTTGTTGTGTGTTCAATTCCACTTTTACCATTTTACCAGGCGGAATAATTGTGAGGGAAAGAAAACAAGCTTCAATTTACTGTAATTTACTCGTCAGAGCGACTGAAGGAGCTGACAACCTCAACTGCTCCCAGTCACAACATATTGTCTGCGTGTCTCATAAACACACAATTAATCTTCAGTTTTCACGAGTGAACAAGATTCTGGTGTCAGTGACGAGCACGAGTGTCAAATATGTGTGAAAATAATGTCCATGAAAGACACAACAGTGTCTGTGACGTTCTTTTGTTTCTGCTTCATATTGTTTGGGTTTTTCAGACGTGTGGAGGATCTGAGACGTGATGAGTTGAATGAAATGACATGAGATGGTTTGAGTGTGAATGAAACTGTTCATCTTGTTTTACCTTGTCAGTGTCTCACAGGCGACTGAGGACTCACGCCTGTGTGCTGTGTTCATTCTCGAGGGTGGTGCCTGACACTTGGCACAATCGCACACAATGGGACACTAGCGATCAATGCTGCAGAGACGCACACGGGAAATAAAACCCACAACCAGATAAACACGAAGCGGGTTCCAGTCAGGCTCCACCCCCGTCCTCACACGGTTACTGAGATGGCGCTTCAAACCAGCAGCTCACAAACCGACGGGCGACGCCACGGTGGCTCGATGCTTAGGTCGACGCCACGTCTCCTCCCAGCGTCTCCTCTAAGCTGAGCTCAGACAACCCACAGCTCATGAGCACAGGTCACATCGTAGATCAACTGGTAAATCACAAGCTTCACCCTGCAGCTCACCTTCCTCTTCCCCACAACACTCTGATACAACACCTGCTCCGCCCTCCCCCCTCCTCAACATCTAAAAACCAAATAAACCCAATGAAACCACCAGACTCAGATGTGATTCATTTCAGTGCAACAAATCTCAGGACACGTTAACGTACTCGAGCAGATGAAGTGGTTCTGACTCACAGGGAGCTGCTGGAGCCGAGGCCGACCTGAGAGGGTGCACACTGTACACATGCTCCGCTTGAAAAGCAGGTGGAACAAAAAGGTCACAACATGTGGAGTCATAAGTGACTCTGTGGAGGATTTAAAATCGTCCGAGGAAGGAAAGAGAGAAGTGTGGAGGGAGAGAGGTGAAGAAAGACTGGAGTGAGAAAGAGAAAGATACGGATGAGCAGTGATAATCCAACATCATGAAACGTGTGAGAGATGAGATGATAGAGGGAGAAATGAGATCATGTGAATCGAGGCTGTGGACAGAGGAAGATGAAGATGAAGATTCCACTGAGTTCAACCTGTGGACACTTGTATGAAGTGACAGTGACCTTAATGTTCCCTGAGCTCAGCCTCAACTCAAAAGTTGTTTTCATATTCGCAGCAGCTAAAACAATGACAGTTTCTAAATAACACAGTGAATCCTGGGACTTTTCATCCGCCACACAAACCGATATTTCTTAACAAAGAGGACGACCGCTCTACCCCCTCAGCCACAGCCGCCCGCATCAGATCGACTCATCAGTTCACAGCACTTCTGTTGACACGGCCACTGAACTCAAATACCAAAATCATAATGGCTAAAAAAACTGTGATAAAGATTTTCTGTGAGGAAGGCCACAGGGCGGTCAATAAATCGTTAGGAACTAATCTGCAGAGCGGACAGACTAGAGAGAGGAGGTGACAACAGTAAGACCAGCGAGCACAACGGAGCGGGAATCACTGTGCAGCCTCATCATGATTACATTTCATCTACATGTGAATGTTGAAGACAAAGTGATTCCAGCAGCGACTCCAGACTCAGCTGAGAGCAGCGTAAGATTCTACACTCAGTTAGCTGCTCAAGTGTCCTCGAGCGAGGAACTGAATCCCAACAATATCCAGGAGCGAGGTCCTGGGGCTCAACCTCAGAGGAGCAGGTTACAGCAAGAGGACAGAACAAGAACAAAGCTCTGATGAAGTCTTCTATAAAACTCTCTGGTCAACAGGAGAAAATCAAACGTTTGATGTAAAATCAATACTGTGATCAAATGTTAACTTGTGATTAGTCTGCTCATTGTGAGGAACTCAAACTGTCTAATTCAATTCAGTTATCGGCTCTGGAATTATAATGTGTGTGTGTGTGTCTACTTTGTACTGACTGATCCAGTTTGAACCGAACTGTTGGTGCTGACGTCCTGCGTCCACATCAAACTAACGCTCATCCACAATAGCACTGCTCAGTGTCTCTACACATCATGGGCACCAGTGTTTAATGATCTTCTCCCTCTGAACCAGCAGACCACTTTAACACATCTCAAACCTGCAGTGTTTGTATTGAGTCCGACAGGCTGCACCTCACCACAAGGTTAAACACATTAGCATCGTGGAAGAGATTTGTTTTGGAGGTTGAATACTGGAGGGAAACTGTGACATTGCAGCCTGATGTGAGAGGAGCGTCTTCAGGCATTCGTCACACTTAACTTCGTGGAATGGAAACGAGTAAATGAACGGAACGCTCCACCAGGGACCGGTGTAAACATCATGGTGCGATGCCTCACTCTGATTATTGGCTATAATCTCATTATGTGCATGTAAATTTGAGGCTCCCGCTCAGGAGAGCTACGGCGTATTTTCCCACTGATACAAGGAACGTTGGAGTTAGACAGTTTCCTGCTTCCTCACTTACTCATTCAGCCCCGTGTCTCCTGTTGGACAACAGCCAATGAGGAGACTGAAGGTGAAAGAGGACGTCTGCTCAGTGTCGCTTCACAAAAAACCTCCCATTACTTTCTCATTTGGCTCAAAGCTTCATGGTCAAAACCTCGTGTTTACACTTCTGCTGCTGCCAAACTGAAAACTAAAGCTACCGTGTTAAATGATGATGGAGAATGTGATGAGGAATTTGTGCTTGAAGGATGGAAACATTAAGTTTTTGAATAGAATTAAAATATGTACCTCACGTGTCGGTCGTCGTTTACTCCTCCTGAAAATGTGAGACTTAAAAAAAGAAACAACTTGGTTAAAGAAGTGTTTTCTACAGGTTAACAATCTGATTTCACTCAGCAGTACATTACACAGCTCTGATGCAAAACCATTAAGTGCAAATGAACAGGAAATGTAAAGCTTCTGAAGACATACAGGATTCAGTCTCTGAGCATTCAGCTGAAATCTGCTGGTTCTTTAAGATTCACAGGAGACGAGCAGAGTCCATGTTCCAAAACAACATGGACTCTGCTGAGTCGACTCTGACTCATTCACATGAATAAAACACTTCAACCGAAGCTCTTTAAAAAGATGAACGTTCCTCATTGAACTCAGAAATTTAAAAACATTCCCCACAGGGTCTGTGACCTGCTGGATGACAAACACTAAGAACAATCCAGCAGGTAGATGCAGCAATTTAACAGCTGATTGATTGAACAAACTGCAGCCATGAAACCAAAAATACAGATGTTCCTCTGAGTTTCCGTAATGAGTCTGAAGGACTCTGCTCTGATGGCTGGTGAACGACAGCTAATGAATGTCTTTAACAACATAAGGATGAGACATGTCCTGAGTTTAACATCCTGGACTACAAATCAGGACAAAGACATTAACATTAACAAGCTCAGAAGCCGGTATTGGATTTGTATTACTCAAGTTAATTCTTAAACATGACTCATGAAGAAATCCATTGTAATGAGACCTTAAGATCTAAAAACTTAAAATTCGGCTCATTGGTTTTCAGGCTTTAGAGGACCCGTACAAACTCTGGTTTGCTAGCTGCACAGATCAGGATCAACTAGAGGATCATCATCGAGAAAGCACATGAACTCTGAGGTTACATCTGCCAAGTGCAAAGCAACACTCAGGGCATTAGTTAGTTAAAGGTAAAAAGGTCTGTCTAGTTTTGAATGGTCCGTCTGCAGGTACACCAGACAGTTCCTCTTATGAAGCACAAGTGTTTCTATATGAGGAGTTATTGTTGAACACAGCACACGAGCACTGATCAGACGAGAGTTCAAGCTGAGGTCATATGCTAATGTTCCATTACATGTGTTTGTCAGAAGAGTCTGACTCTGTTTAATGTTTCATGTGATTTTAAAAGGCAGCAGTCAAGGTTCACACAGTTCAGACTCCTGGGCTGATATAAGACGCCCCTGGTGTCACCGCGGGAGGCGACGTCTCTTTATCCGGCTCCGTCGGGCCCCTAGTGGCCCCCCCACACCCTGCTGCATTCATGTTTAATGTAAAAAACCAACAGGTCTCCTCATGTGTGTTTTCACCGGTTCATAGTTTGTGTTGTTCACAGAGGGTAGAGATGGAGTCACACAGGGAGGACATTAATATGCATGTGTTGACATCCGTGTTCGTCACAAACATGACGCCACGCTGCCTTGTGTGGAGAAACCACCAAGTCACAAGAACAACTGAAAGGAGAGAATATGTTTAGAATGGGATCGTTGGAGGTTTACAGGCTGGTTAAGATCTGAGGCTTCATTAGAAAGTGTTGACTGAGAAACACATTAAACGTGACAAACAGAAACAACAGGATGTAGTTTTATTTTGTTGATTCTTCAATGCAGCTTGCTTGAGTTTAAGGGGCCGTGTGCAGCTCGACTGACTCATCTTCTTGTTTTCTGTCTGATCGAACCCTTTAACATCAGGAGCCTCCTCCCTTCAATCACACGTCTTATGATTTGTGCATTTTAGTGCTTCGTTTATTCCTGTGAGCACATTGAGTGACTCAGAGAAGAGGAAGCTTGAACCCTCGTTCTTCACGTGAATGACATTAGCCCTCTTCAACACCTACACACCAACAGGAGCCCTCAAACTGATTCTCTTCCCTGACTGAGGCTCCAGAGTCATTTATTGTTTGCATGTCAACCGTTCGTTTTCTTTCTGAAGGAATGTTTTTAGCTTGATGTCCAGCTGTCAAACCCACCTGGTCTCATAATCAAGGATCTTACACCCACTTTCATTCCACTGACCTGAACAATGCAAATGTACGATTCTGGCTGAGCAGTGTGAGGACGTCACTGTCAGTCTGTTCTCTCACTGTCTCCCTGACCTCAGTGAGGATCTATTAAGTGTTGTCCCATCAATCAGAGCTGAACCTGTTGGATCAAGGTCAGGCCAAGATCCTGCCGGCAGACAGACGGGTGAGGGAGTGAGACACACACACTCCATGATGTAGAAATGCCCTCTGCAGAGAGAGCTGCCAATCTGACTCTGAAGCTTAACGGAATAAACGCACAGTATCTACTATACTCACTCCAAGTTTCTAAATAAAAGATCCATAAAACTAAAAATCCCGTTTAAATCCTGTGTGAATTGAATGTCACTCACACGTTCACTCAGTGGTCCACAGAGTTTTCACCGTCCACTGAGACAGACAGTCGTAGTTCCAGCTGCAGTTTCTCCTCTGAGAGCACGACACAGGTTCTTATCAGTTCTCCACCACATTGAAGTTTTCTTTACTACAGACTGATGTCACTTTGAATGAGTCACATCTTCTCCCGACAATACGACCAGTCTGCTGTAGGAAGTATTTTCATTTCAGAGTTAGAGTGATAGAGTGAAAACACGATGGAGACGTCATGTCAATGGATGTGTACGTTAAGCACAAGCTCAGATCTGAAGTCTCTCAGCAGCAGCCGTCACTACAGCGTCTGCCTCTTCTGCTCTCTGTCCTCCTCTGTTCATTCTGATTTTCTCTCTGCTCCCATCCAGCCATCCTACCCACAATCCCTCCTCTTTCATCTTGCCTTCTGATCCCCCCCCCCCCCCCCCCCCCCCCCACCCAGCTCAGCTTGCTTGCCACTTTTATCTGCCCTTTCTCTTCTCCTCCGCTCCACTGCAGTTTTCCCTCCCTCTGCTCTTCCTCTCCATCTCGTCTTCTTCCCTGGCTGGCGTCTCTGACCTCTAACCCTCAAACAATTTCTCTGAATTTATTCTTTCTGTGCCTCCTCCACCTCCCTCTGAACTCTCTCTCTTCCTCAATGTATTTTGGTCCATTTCTCTCTTGGTTTAAAACTCCCCTTCCCCTGTGCTTCCTCTAAACCATCTCTCTCTCTCTCGCTTTCTTTATCCTGTTGGGATCTGAACGTGATTCCGTCTTTTTTTTTTTTTGGCCTGATACTGAATGAAAGTCGACAGGGTCATTTACTGAATGTGTTGACATTCTCCCAGTTCAAACCTCCTCCTCTATCTTTCCTTTGTCACGATAAGGTTGAATCCTTTGCTTTCCAGGTGGAAACTGGGTCATCGCAGCATCAATGAGTCGAGACAGAGAACAAAGTGTACAACAAAACTAATAAAACGAGACAGGTCTATGGTGCTGAATGGGTTTGTTAAGAAAGAAAATGTCCCTCAATTATAATCTAGATGCTATTTTAGAGCCTCACATGGATAAACGTTCAAACACATGTGCTTTTATAGGCGAAAGATTTTCACGTAACCGTCGTGCAGTTTTGGAAAGAAATGAAAAGCATCTTTCAACCCTCAGGACCTGTGAGTCTCCCATCAGCCCTCTCTGCTGTTTTAAAGAGATGTGCTCGACTTCATAAATGTTGACTGAAGTGCCCCAGATCCCCAGAATGAAATCTGATGTCACGTGGGTTTAAATCTGCATTACGAGCCGTCCTCAGCATCAACACCTACATCTTTTTTGTGGGCTTTTCATCACAGCTCCCTCCTCCGTTTCTGCTCCTGTTCTTTGGAACCGAGCTCAGTCAGCAGAACAGCAGTCATTAGTGGAATTACCTCACAGCAGAGCTTTCACCCCCCCGAGTAAATACTACCACTGCTGGTATCAAAAAAGGAAATGTTGCCACAACAGCAGAGAACAAGACGACAGCCTAGCTACACTGGAGGGGGACATGGGGCCTAATATGTTCCAGCTAATGAGCTTTTGTCGGAGCGGCTGGCTCATTGTGAACACGTCTTCACACAGTTCTTAACACTGCTGGCTTGATCCCAGCTCTACGTCATAACACTTTCTGTAAAACTAAACCCACCTCTCAACATAGTTTTAATCACTGTACGTTTTTAAATTTCCTCTGATCCAGTAAAAGTGACGTATTCTGTTCCTCCGATGAATTTCTGTTCAGTTCGACCTTTAGGTTCTTCTCCTGTCTTTGATCAAACTCAGCTCTGTTCCTCTAAATTACGTATTTCTAAGTTCCTTCCATGCTCTTCAAATGTCCTGATGTGACTCATGTATAATTCACAGATGTTTAAATATGAAAAGATTTCCCCGCCTTCATCTCCACCCCCCTCGCCTGCAGCTGCGACTCTTCATCAAACACACGACGTTTGTTTTCTGTTTAACACACAATGAGTGTTTCAGGCAGACGTGTTGGAACTAGAAACCGACTCTGAAGACAAAGAGGGAGGGTCTAAACCTTCAAACTTTCATAAACACTTAAGAGCAACATGTTTAAAGTTGCTGCATCACAAAGTTTCCAAATAGCTTTTCTCAAAACCATCTTCATCTTTAATTCAGCAAGGTTCACTTTGTGTGGGATGAAGAAGACTGTGGTCCAAGGATTCATCTGGGAAACTGTGTCTTTACAGGCCCTCATTTCACTTTAGGTTATTTTCAGTTAAAAAACACCAAAGCAAGCTGAGATGACTGCTGCAGATCCACATCCTTTATCTACTCACACATTTCAATGTGATCATGTTCATCTCAACACTCAGACGCTCTGTCTCTTTTATTTGTCCTTCTGTCGTCATATTCTCTCCTGCAGCTCATTAAAAGTAACTTTATCGCTAGTTAAAACTCTGAGCACGTGTGAATTTGAATTACTGACTAAAGGCATTTTCATGCCTCAGCACTCAGAAACAAAAAACCACACAGCCACCTGGGATCACAAGGAAACAGGGGAAATTCAGTGTTTACAAGGTGAGCAACAAGCTGCTGAGACTGTAGAGCTGCAGTGACGATAGTCTGAGGTGTAACTGTGAGCAGGAACGCTTCAATGATGTGGAACAGTGGAGTGAGAAGCTCCACTGATCAGTACACCAACACAGATCACAATGAAAGAGGCAGCAGGAAAACGTCCACTGGTTTTACGCCTCATCCTCCTTCTACAAATTTTAATTTATAAAGTCAATGGGAAGAAAAACAGAGTAAAACTATAATTGCCTGTCAACAGAAGTTGTACTTTTATCATCTGTTCAGATCTTCAGATCAGGAGCGAAGCAAAGTCAATGAAACCATTTCTCTTACTGAAATAATCTCTGGCCTGGTGTCTGCACGTCTCCACCAACCAGAGCAGGTTCAGTCCACATCGTTTCTCCAGACTCGTGACGTCATCGTGACCTTTGACCTCTGAACTCCAATCAGTTCCTCTTGAGGCCAAAAGATGTTCTGTGAGGCCACTGCGACCTTGACCTTTGACCTCTGAACTAATCAGTCAACCAGTGAGTCCAAGTGAACGTTTGAACCAAATCTGAAGGAATCGTCTCCACAAGGGACGGACGACCTTAAAACAAAATGCTAAGTAAAAAGAGGATTTTGGACACAAAGTAAACGAACCTGCTCTTTGAGCTTTAAGTCTTAAATGTTAAAATCGAGTCTGAGGTGTTTTTGTTTGGAGGCAGCAAATGGAACACGGATCACTGGGAGAGCGACGTCAGGAGCGTCCACCTCCACAGGAAGTGAGAGAGGAACAGTGATGTGACACGTGAACTGATCTCGACCTTGTGTTCGACCTGTGTAGTGTGTACATGTATGTAGTGGTTTTACTCTCTGTAGGAATAAAGTGGGGTTGTTGTTAATGACACAACCTGACATGCACTGGTTATTATGATATTTATAAGAAGTACATTCTGTATAGTAAACTGTGGAGCCATGAAAAATTAATGTAAAATATATTGTCGTGTGTTGATGTATGTGTGTATGTTACATTGTGTATTTGTGTGTCTGTGTGTGTCACACCTCTGGGAAACAGATGTAACAGAGGCATTAGCCTACTTCGCTCGCATCAATCGAAACAATCTAATCTACTCAAGTGCAGCTCCTCACTGCATTTAATGAAATCCCAGAGAGACGCTGCCCCGAGAACGACCTTTAACCCGCCGCTTCACTTTTCTACATGAGTTTCACTGACGTCGCTCAACTGTTCTGAGATCAGTTTTCACCACGACATGTGACTTGTGTTCACAGAACATCTCGAGCAGTTCCTGGGTGAGAACTCAGATGTCACCGAAGCGAGTGACTTGTCGACTCAAACATTTCCAACAAACTGTCTTCATCTCTTCCGGAGACAGAGACGGTTCAAAATAGATTCAATTTCACCGTCTCCACAGAACAGGCGTGAAAAACATCTGAGTCGTTATCTGAGGTTTTAGGGAACCCGAGGGTGTAAATCCACCAAGAGCAAAACAGAAGGACGTTTAAGACCCTCACTGATGAGTTTGTGAATCATTGTGTGTTTTCATTCACATGGTCGCTGATGTGTGATTGGTTCTTACCTTCTCCATCTCTCCGCTCTTTCTCTTTCGTGCTGAGCGGGTGATTTTGACGGTGACAGCGCTCTCCTCTCCCTGGCGCCTCAGAGCCATGCGGTTGGGCTGCAGAGGGCTGAAGGAGATCTCCAGCTCTGGCCGAGGGAAGCGGCTCATCCGGCCATTTTCCGTGGAGATCTCGGACGAATCGAGGACAGACGGGAAGCCAGCTGATCCCTGCGAGACACACACACACACACACACACACACACACACACACACACACACACAGTCTGAGGTCAGGGGTCGCTTCATGGTCACCTGAGTGTGACATGTCTTTGTGTGACAGATCAGTCTTGAACTGTAACTGTGCACTCATCCTGTGTGTCTTGTAAAGTGTGTGCTTGTGTGTGAAAGATAAAAACAGATCCTGTAGCAGCGACATGATATCAGTCGATCAGGAAAATGATTTTAAGTGCAGATGAAATCACTGATTGTTGAAATTTGAAGATATTTTTTATAAAACACTGAAAATTCAAACCTTCAGTCTCAAACTTGTGTTGCACTTTGATTCATGCATTAATGTCTCACTTCTGTCGTCTCCTGAACTTACTTGGCTGCTGACTGACGCTCTGGTGTCCATCCTTCCTTCTGACCTCTTGCTGATGGTTTCACTCTGGGGTTTCCCTGCCAGTGGAGCAGGGCTCTCGCTGCTTTTAAGCTGCCATAGAAAGAACAGGAAATAGATGTTAACATAGTGATGAGAACAAAATGATGTATCTTGTTGATAAATTGAATGTGTTGATGCTGCACTCGTCTGTCCAGTGGAACCATTGTGTGTGTGTGTGTGTGTGATTATTTCAGACGACAACATGAAACACGACACACATCACAGTCCTGTGTTGTTCCTCCACAACACGATGTCAGGACAAACAACGTCAACATCCAAACGATCTTTGTTTTTGTAAATCTTTACCATGCAGGTGATGACACAGTGGACAAAGACATCATTCAAAAAGCTGACGTGTAACATGAGTTTAAAGCATCAAGTCTGTCGCTCTTCATATATCACATATATGAAGAGTCTTCTCTTCAGACTGACCTGAGCGACCGTGTCCACCTGACGGACAGTGGACGCTTTCAGCTCCTCCTTCAGTCGCTGGATGTCGGCCTCCCTCTCACGCAGAGCAGCCTGCAGCGCTGCCACGCCGACACCATCATCATCACCAGCACCATCATCACACTGTAACAGGAAGTCTGGACTGTTAGGATTTGTTTTCTGTCAGTGACATTTCTCCCACCCTTCAATTTTATAGTTTCCACCAGGAAAAAGAAATAACTCACCAAATAATTCTAAAGGAATATAAAATTAAAATAATGCAAACCATCCAGGCAGCAAACATCACATGTGAGACTTTAGATCATCATGAATTAACAGTCTCACTAAATAGTTCAAACAAATGTCACATTTCTTATTATCATCTAAATGTTTTTAGAATAAATCTGGACATCATGGCCCCAAAGGAAACATCTACATACACCTGCATCAGAAACACAATCAGAGAAACGGAGCTGAGGTCGTGTGAAAGAACAACAAACACAATTAAAAACAGCGGCATGGAAATGCAAACAGGTTTAGACACAGTCACTAGTGTAGCTTCTTACTCTCTCTTTCCAGTCTGTTCTGTGATCACCTTTGTTACACTGACCTCTGGTGGCGGCTGTGTGGTATTGTGGCGTAGCTCTTGGATGAGTTTGTCTTTCTCTGCCTGACTGGAGAGAAGTTTCTGGAGCTGAACCTCCAAAGCTGCAACCAGAGTGTCTCTCTCCTTCCTCCACGTCTCCATGGTCTGATCCTTCTCCGTCAGCTGGGACGACAGCGCCTCCTGTGGGAGAGAGAGGACGGGTGATAGTTTAGCGCTAAGTAAAAACTGAAAGACCTCAGAGGTTGCAATGATCATTAAAACATTTTCATGTTTGATTTACACATCAGTGAATATCAGACCTGTAAGATAACAAAGAGCTGGAGCTGAACACAAGTGAGACACAAATCAACAGTTCTACCATCAGTGTCTGAATCTGTACAGATCGAAGTTTCTTAAATGAAGAGGATTTGTTATGTGGTGGAAATTTATCTCGAGATGTGAGATAAAGAGTTTCTCAGACCGGAACTATGTTTGGGTCTGTACTAGAGCTCTGCAGAGGGTTTCACACTCAGCACGAATGCTCAGAGTGGAACAACCCCGAATAGGGAAAGAAGAAGGTTTTATACAGTCAGATAAACAGGAAACATAAGAGAAATCTGTTTCTGAGTAATGGCATGAAAAAACTGAAGCCACCTGTAGTCTAGTTAACACAGGAAGCTGTCTGCTCTCGCTTCTGCAAGAAAGAAGAGTTTTGCTACTGCAAAGATCAGCGTCAACAAGAGGATCATCATAGAAAAAGGACATGAACTCTGAGGTTACATCTGCCAAGTGCATAGCAACAGTCATGGCATTGGATAGTTAAGAGTAAAAAAGTAAAAGGTGTCTGTCTAGTTTCGAATCGTCCGCCTGCATGTGCACCAGACAGTTCCTCTTATGAAGCACAATTGTGTTTCTATATGAGTTATTGTTGAACACAGCACACGAGCACTGATCAGACGTGGAAAGAGTTCAAGCTGAGGTCATATGAAAGTTTTCCATTACAGTTGTGTGTATGGAGGTCGTCTTAGGTTTCTTCAGTTAACCTGACTGTACCTCAGCTGTTCTCAGTGGTCACATGTTTCTTACCGTCTGGCTCTGCTGGCGAGCGTAACGCTCTCGGTCTTCAGCAAACTTCCTCATTTCCTGGTTCCTCTTGTCCTCCGCCTCTTTAGCTTGGCCAATCAGAGAGAGCTTCTCCTCCAGCCACTTCTTGCGTTCGGCCTGGTGTTTGTCCGTACACAGCTGTTAACAAGTGTTTATTTAAACTTTGTGAATTAAAATCAATAAAAAGGACGGGGAGGATGTAAGAGCAGATCTGATAACAGGGCCGTACAAATACTGTAGATACTTTTAACTGTCAATAATCATGTTTGATTTTTCTTCTCAATGTCTCCATCACTCACTTTGTATCTGTTCCTACCTTCTAACACAACCTTTTGATAAAGATATATTTCCCATCATTACTTTCAGTTTTTCCTGGGCCTGTGCAGCTTCTTGTTTGGCCTGTCTGACATCACGGTCATGTGACGAGCCGTCGACTCCACCGTCGGGCTGCAACAACTTCCCCTTCAGTTTTTCCACTTCTGAAATGTGAAAAAATGTATTGATTTAAGTTGCAAAGACGAATGTGAATATTCTGATGATAAAGTTTCATGAGGACATATTTACTTTATCATGCCTCCATATATATACTATAAATCCAGTTATTACATTTTAGCTGGTTGTTTAAACTAACATTTACGAAGACTCATCGTTTCTTCCATTTCTCTCCCTGATTATTCAGGCCCTGTGTCTTTTTACCGTCCGTCAGTTCCTGGATGAGGTTCAGTTTCTGCTCCAGGACGTCCTCCATCTGCGCCTGTGTCTCCTCCTGCTCCGTCAGAGCCAAACGCATGTCCTCCATCATGCGCTCTTTGACCTCAAGCTCTGCAGATCAACAAAACAACCAGAGAATGACCAGTGAGGTTGTTTTGAGCTTTTTATATCATTATTCCTTGAAACTCATGAACACACACACACACACACACACACACACACACACACACACACACACACACACACCTTTACAGGACTTCTGGTAGAGCTGCAGCGTCTGGTCAGACTTTGTGTCACATGACTGTTCCTGAAGAGAGGGAGAGGAGGAGATGAAGACGACATGAAAACATGAACACACCAGTGTGAAGACAAAGAGACATTAAATCCACAGGATCATTTCACATCTCAGACAGAAGAGGGCGCTGTTGTTTGCTGGTAGACATAGTCTGATAAACATTTTACCAGTTTGAGCTGTTGGATGGTTCTGTCTCTGTTGGCGACGTCAGACTGAAGCTGCTTCTTGGTTTTCTCCGTGTCCGTCAGCTTCTGTCTCAAAACCTTCTCCTCTTCCCTCATCGTAGAAATCTTCAGGAAAAAACAACATTCAGTTGGAAGTAAAAGTTGGAACTTCCTGCTGTTTCTATCTATTCACTTGTTTTATTTACAATCAAATGGTTTTAAGATGAGATCAGTTTTATGTTTCTTCGTCTGTTTCGAAAACCAAAAAGTTTGCATAGACAAAGCTAAAATAGACAAAGCTTTTTATTTTGAGTGAAAAGCCAAAGTGTCTCCACACTAAGATAAAGAGCTTTTATATGTTTATCTTTATAGATTACACAGCAGCGTGCAAACCTCCTTCTGGACCTGCTGGACCTGCTTCTTGTAGTCAGCCAGTTTCTCTCTGAGATCTGACGCGTCGTCCTCTTTCCTCTGTAGCTCCAGGCCGAGGCTCTCGACTTTCTCAGAGCTCTGCTTGGCATTTTCCTTCAGTCTGGGAAATGACAAATGTTGTCGATAAAGTAAGCAACCTTAAAAATGAAATTCCCTATCATGAGTTCAAGATTTATATTTAGATCAACAACTACCTGTTGATCTCGTCGCCTCTCTTCTCCAGCTCCTCGTCTTTCTGAGCGATGGCCTCGTGAGCGACAGCCAGCAGCTCCCTGCGTCTCTCCACCTCCCTACGTCGAGCCTCCTGCACCGCCTGGATCTCCTCCTCCTCCCGCCGCTCCAGTGCTTCCTGCAGGCTCTTCTGCAGGGCTGTTACCCGAGCCTCCTTTTCCAGCAGCTTCTTCTGCAGCTCTTCAGACGCCCTCTCCTGCGTCTGTCTGTCCGTGTCTGTCTGCGTCGTCTCTGAAGAGGCGAGCTGAGCTTCTATGTTGGAGAGCTTTTCTCTCAGGGCTGCCACCTCTGTCTGGAGTTCAGAGTTTAATCTCTTGACCTCTTCTTCAGAGCAGGAGGAACCTTTGACCTTTGACCTAGCCTCTTCCAGTTCGGCCTTGAGCAGCTCTGCAGTTTTCTCCTGCTCGCTGAACTTCAGCTTCAGATCATCTAAGACTTTGTCAGAAGTTTCTTGTTGTTGGCTCAGTTTGAATTTCAGCTCCTCCAGCTGATTTTGTGACGTGGCTTGTTGTTCTCGCAGCTTTTCTTTGAGCTCCTCCGACTGTTTTTCTGAGGCCTGTGTTTGTTCGTCTAGTTTTGCTCTGAGCTCGACTCCGTCTTCTTTGGAAGAACACTCTTGATATTCCAGCTTAGATCTCAGGTCATCCAGTGTCTGCTGTGAGGTCACTTCCTGCTCCTGAAGCTTCTTCCCGAGCTCTTCAACTTGTCTTAATGACGCTTCGTGCTGTTGATGAAGCATCTTGTTAAATTGCTCCAGCTGCTGTATGTGTTCCAGCTGTTCTTTTACCTGGTGCAGCTCACGCTCCAGCTCGAGTGTTTGAATACACTTGTTCTCATGTTTCTCCTTCTCATCAGCCAGATTCTTCCTGAGCACTGACGCCTCGTCTCTCAGCTGATCACCGATGCTGCCTGACGACGATGTGGAGGCCTCCAGCTCCAGCTTCAGGTTTTGAGCTTCCAGCGTCAGGACGTGGATCTGAGAAGTCTTCACCTGGAGCTGCTTCGAGTGTTCATCCAGCTGGACTAAGACTTGTTCTGCTCTCTCCCTCTCACTAGTCACCTGTAATTATTTCAACAACAGAATAATGTCTTTTATGTATCTTTTAAAAAGAAGATTCAGAGCATGAAGCATTAACACCAGTAAACTGAACATATTCAACAGTTTTAGTGACTAACGACCTTAACTCTGTGCTCACCTGACGCTCTGCGGCTTCCAGTTTGGAGGTCAGGTCCCTGACTTCCTGTTGTAGTGAGTCAACCTGCTGCTGCCTCTTCTCTCTCTCCTCTTCGAGCCTGCTCGTCTTCTTCGTCTCTTTCTCCAGAAGAGAGCGAGCCTCCTCTACGACGCTCTTCTCTTCACTGAGAGCAGCGAGCACCACCTCTCTGCTTTCCTTCACTTCAGCAAGAGCTGCTATGGCTTCCTCTTTATCTCGAACCACTTTTTCGAGGGATGCTATCGCCTCATCTTTGCCTCGTCTCAGCTCACCAACTGAGGTAATGGCGTCCTCCCTTGCTTTCCTCTCCTCCTCTAAGGAAGCCAGAGCCTCCTCTTTACCCGAGGTCTGGTACTCCAGAGCAGATAGGACATCTTCTCTGGCTTTCTTCTCCTTCTCCAGGGCTGCCAGCGCCTCCTAGGTGTCAGGAAGAAAGATTTATTAAATAAACTTGACAATGATTTCATGAATGTGAAGTGAAGAGTTTCACATACATTGGAAAACATTTGATCACCATTACTGTCAACAAGGGTCAGTTTTCCTGGTAACAACTTTTAACCTCAAGCGTCAATAAGTACAATACAAGAAGGGAAAAGAACAAAGTGGATGTAGTATTTTCTTTGTTAATCTCTTGTTATCAAATGATTAATTCCTTTGCTCAAAGAACAAATTTACATGTCTCTCAGTCATTTTTTATAACAGTGAGCTGAAGGCCTAACAGCAACATCTGATTAACTGTGTAAAGAGGTCGTAATAATTTTATTGGTTAAATTTTCTGTAATCATGACAGACTGAGCGCACTCAGCCCTGAGGCAACACAAACTGACAGAGCTGCAGAGCCAGGAGTCTTTTAGTCAATTCAAAACAAAGAGACATAAAACCTTTTATAATCAGTGAATCAGGAGACATATTCTGTTTTAATGAGTTATTACTGTAACTTGTTTTCATGCTCTAATGTTCAGAGAACATTTCCTCAGACTGACAGTTGGTTTTAGCTCCACCACACAAGTTTGCGTCCCCAAGCTGTCGCCCGAAGGGCCCATGAAGACGTCAGTGAGAACGTAGTAGTAGTAGAGACAATTTAATGTTATTTTTCAGTTTGTTGTCGTTTTTTGGATCTGTCACCAGGTACTTATATTGGATTGGATTTGGCTTCAACACCGTTTACCCCTGGAACTCAAAAACTGTTCTCACAAAGTAGAAAATTAGTGAATTTAAATTTTTGGGTGACCTATCCTGTTAATTTATGAGTAAAACTCCGACACTCCGTCTTCAAACTCAGCTCACTCTCCTGGTTACGTCCACAGTTCTCACCTGCAGCTGGTCTCGCTCAGGTGAACTCTCCTTGACCGCCGAGGAGCGGCCCTGTGCTGCCCTCTGCAGATCTTCCACTTGCTTCTCCAGCTGGGAAACTTCTGACGACTTCTCCTGGAGCTGAGAGAGAAGCTTCATTTTCTCCTCGTCCTCTTCGATGGTTTCACCTTGAAAATGAATGAATACAACAGGAAGTAAGAAGCAGTGACATGTTGGTTTTCATCACTATAAAAATCCCTTTCCCACGGTCAAAGAGACGTCTTGTAATATTTTATCTATTATAAAATATGACGTCTGTATATTCAATGTACTGTGTAAGTTGTTGATGAACATTTTCTGGAGTTCATGTCTGAAAACACAGAAGGAAACTTAAGGATTCATCTGCATCCTGACCTTTGTGTTTATGAGCATCCTTCTCTTTGACTTTCTCCTGGTGCTCATACAGCTCCAACACTTTCCTCTCCAGCTCCTCCACGGCTCCTATTTCACATGAGCCCAGACATTTACGTGCTGCCTTGGCGGCCTCCTTTATGTCGGTCGAGTCGGAGGAGGGGTCAAGAGATTTGTCCTGCAGGACGGAGGAAACATCAGACAAATTAATCAGGAAGATTAATGAACATGTTCTTAAGTACTGAATTCACAGACACCTGAGTAGTGACGTAGGCGTCAAAATGACATCAAATAAGCTGCGTTTGTAAGATGAACTGCAAACGTACAACTCCCTTTGCTCTCAGGGCAAATTAATTTACTGCAGCAGGCATCAGTACTACTTCAGTGACAGGCTGTAGACAGACTCAACGACCAACACAGCTGTTTCTCTGAGTGAGTGTGTTAGTGTCAGCCACTGAGATACTCATCTTCACTTTCATTCCTTTATTCTAAGTCGCTTTGGATAAAAGCGTCGGCTCAATACTGTGGAAGGTAATATGTTTTAATCATCAAAGCTTTTCACATTAACGACATGTTTCAGTCATGACCTGCAGGAAAAATCTGGAGATTCGGCTACTGATTTATTCACGTCTTGCTTTTCACACACGCACAACACAGATTCTCTCTGCGGACATTATACCAGGAGGTCAGGCAGAGAGAGGCAGCAGAAATTACACAAAGGATCTGCAGAGTTCAGTCTGTGATCCAGGGAAGAAAAAGAGAGTGATACCATGTCCTGTGCATCCTGACCGGTTCCAGCTGTGGTCATTTTGTCAATGAGGTTCTTAAAGATCTCGAGCCTCCGTTCTGCTCGCTCCTCCAAGATTTCTCTCTCCCTCACCAAGCGCTCACTGCACAAAAGACACACACAGACACATTTCTATAACTCGAGTATCTGGAGTTCATCAGATACTCATCATTTCTGCATGTTTTCCTGATTCTCTGTGATTTCATGTTCACTGTTTAAAAAAATAAATATCTTAAAAAAACCAAACTGTCTCACTTGTAGTCGATCTGCATCTCAGAGAAAAGGTCCGAGTATTCTCTGCTGGTTTCCTCTCTCACTCGCGCCTCAATGAGCATTCCCTCCGCTCGCTCCCGCTTCAGCTGAATCTGCAGCTGCCTCAACAGCGCCACCTGCTTCTGAGGAGCAGAACACATAAACACAGGAGACAGAAGATTTCAGACAATGAGCACAGACAAAAACATGTTTTCAGCACTCTGCTCTTCTTAGAGTCTGAGAGAGAAAAACCACTTTAATAAATGAAAGTAAAATGAAAATAATCTGTCACCCTGCTCTCTGAATATGGGCCTCATAAGGAAAACATCTCAGTCACTGTGTTCTCGCACTCTGTGCTACGATATAAATATCTACTGATTCCATTCATTGACACTTTTATTTTACAGTGATTGATTCCAACGTCTTTGTTAAACACATTAAAATGAACTCAAATTAAAATGTGAAGGGCCTGACCTGATGCATCTGTTTACTGATTTGGATTTTATCATCGTCTTCATTCCCGGTCTCGTCCACAGTTTCCTCCATCGGGTTATTTTCTTTCTCGTACTCATTGTCCAAGTACTCCTGGACAAACACATTGAAAGACACAATGAAGGTTTGCGGCACCCGGAGGCTCGAGGTCACCTGCAGCGGCCACAGGCTTGGTTCTGATCCGGCCCTTGGCTGTCTCCCTCGCTCTCTCCTCATTTCTCACTGTGTCCTATGAAGGGTTATCTGGTGGATAATCAAAATCTCAAACTGTAACAAATCAAATCATGGCTGAGGACCCCACCTTTATGTCCTCCAGGCTGCTCTCCCAGTCAATCGTGGAGCTCCCCCTGCTGCTGCAAGGAACCTTCCTCTCAGCACTGCTGACGATGAAGGACACGTCACCAGCAGACCTCTGAGGTTTAGTGGTAAGAGGCCTCGAGAACAAGACCACAACCTGGAAACAGATGATAATGGTTCATAAATAAATCTGAGGATGCTGTGGTGGTTTGGTTTTTCATATAAAATAAATGGACTTGTGTGTTTGGTCTAATAAAGACCTTCTGTGCCACAGCAGAGAATTTGAGGACGTTGAGGGTCTCGTCGTACATGGAGGCGCACTGGTTGATGTTGACGATCATGCAGGCTTTGCCTCGGCCACAGAAGAAGCCCTGCAGGTAGTGGGTCAACTTACTCTCTCTGAAGGGAACATGCTGAAGCAGCCTGAGGGAGGGAAAGGTGGAGTTTAGCTGGCTTTGATATTTTGTGCATTCTGTCATGAAGCTGAATTGAAGGATTAAGTATGAATCGTTCTCTTTGACGCGTTGAACAATGTAGAAACACAGTTTGAAGACAACATTCTGACAGAGTCGGGTTTGTTTCCTCAGTTTTTAGCTTTGATCTCCAACTCCTGAGAAAATGATCTGACTCTTTACGCTGCTACACGATCTTCACCAGGTAGTCGCTAAGTTTGTGTGGCAGTTGTTTGGAGGTTGGCAGATTGTGCAGATTTTTTTTAAGAGAAGTAACACAACCAAACAAATAAAACAACTTTTTTCATCAGAGATAAACAGAGAATCACGTTTATCACCCCTAAAAACATTTTACCATCGACCTGCAGAACTCTGGCCTGGAACAGAAATGCACGATTAACCCATTAAGATCAGATGCAACATATACTTTATTATATTCCTTTTAGACAAAGCTCAAAGTTTGTGTGCTTTTTCCTTTAGAACCCGATCACTATGTCATCGTTTTCAAGATGTGACGGATGAAAAACATCACGATTCACTCAAATACTTTCATAAAGATGAAAAGCAATAATGGAAATGTAGTTGTTTGTACTCTTAGTCTGCAAAAAAGTATTTATAGTAGAGTTTCATACGTTGGCTGAGGATCTAAGACAGGGGAGCGATATTGAAGCAGATGAAAATAATGCTGAAAATAACAATCAGGAAAAATCAGACGGAAGCTGTTCCTGCTGATCATGACTCAGTCTGTAAGACACATGTCGGAGGAGGAAGACGTTGGGCTCTTTGGTTGTTTCTTTTATGTTCATCAAGTTTATGAAATGATTTCCAATGCAAGCCAGGTGTTTAATCCATTTTTCAACATTTCATGTGTATCTGCTTCTGGGTCTGCGAAATCATAGTTTTCTGTCTCTTCAGAAAACCCTCAGGTTCTAGAATGAGTTTTCATTCAGCGCCTTAGGTCTTAGGGTCAATGGGGTGATGTGTGTTAAGTTTATAAATAAAGTTATTTGAAAAGGCTGGTATAGAGAGGCCTGAGCTAGAGCAGCTTGTGTGTCTTCTACCATTTCACAGTTACTGTCCTCTACCACTGAAATGCCCCAAAGATATCTTTAAAAAGAAGGTAATCATCTCACTTGGCCTGCTGATTGTTCCGCATTGCATTGATGCATTTTCCCAGGATGAGCAGTGACGTGTTGATGTTTCCAGCTTCTTTCAGACGCTCTCCTTTATTCTGAGTCTTGGCGCATCTCTCCGAGCCGGCGAGGTCACACAGACACAACCTGATGACAAAAGAATTCATCTACATCAACAACATGGCCGCTTACAATAAACATTCATGTTAAACACTTCATGCTTAATTTCTCTCTCTACACGTTTTTCGAGCCTGTTAACTCTTAAGTTTTACTCACTCGCTGACTGTGTGGACCCTCGGAGTCCCAATATCCTCAATCCTCAAAATGCGAATGGAGAAAATACTGTGACTGTAAAACGAAGAAACAACTTTATATCAGAACAGTGTAAACACAAACTTAAGAGTCCGACTGATTCTTGGGTTGATAAAGTCTTTCAAGCAGTGCTTGTTCCTCACCTCCTGCTGGAGAGTTGGTTGAGTCGGGTGGAGGAGAAGCTCTGGTTCTTCTTCCCCAGCTTCATCACCTTATACGCCTCTTCCGCACTGTTGACCTGAACCCAGCGCAGATCTAAATACAAAATACACAGAGATATTTATATAACTAGAAAAGGTCCTTTTTTATTCTTTCAAGAATTGTTGATAGGTTTCTGACAGTGAAGGTTGAATACTGAACTCTTTCTAACGGCTCTGACTGAATTAAGGTGGAAATACAAAGTGTTGATTCACTTAAATCAAACGGTGACAGATAAAGAGAGTTGGGTTCTCAAAGGTTAAAGCTACAGCTACACAAGATGTTGCTCTATGACAAATGAGATTTTAAGGTCTTGACCTTCTCTGTAAAGAGCCTAGAGATAATGTATATTATGATTTGGCATTATACAAACTCATCAATCATCACATATGACGTCATTTCATCAAACCAAGAAAACTGGCTCCAAACCTTTGACAAAGGCATTGCCCTTGACATCCTGTGACAGACGCAGTACCGTCCTCCTCAGGGTCCCACTGGATGCCACCTCCAGGAGGTCGTGAATGTTCTCGTTGTAGATTTCACAGAAGGAAACCCAAACAGAGAACTTAGTGTGTGTTTCCACATCAAGGCTGATTTTGTCCTCTGCTGCCACAGTCGTCCCGAGGATGGACGCACCTTCAGAGGAAAGTAATCAGTAACAGCAGCCACACACACCATAAATCATCCTCCAATGCTCTTTATAAAGACTGAAGCTAAATACAATGATTACTGTTGTAGAACAGTTCAATGTGTGTTTGAGCTGTTTATAAACTTTGATGAAATACATCTATGTTGGTTTTAATTGTGCATTTATTAAATAATCTGCATTTATGTTAAAAACGGCTCATAATGGCACCTAGTGTTTAAAACCCTCTCATGTTAGCCTCGGGACGAGGAGACCCCTTATCTCAGCTTCGCCTCCCAACACATTCTAAAGGTATCTTTTTTTATTTCCAGGGAGAGACACTTTAAATAAACAGATAAAACAAACATATCTACCTTCAATGAGCGTCTTATTGGTCGAGTTCAACAGGCTGGCATTGCTCTTGTCACTCTGAAAGCCAAATAGTAGACAGCAGGTTTATTTAACGAACAATACCTGGGGCAATGTCAGCGCGGGATGAGAGTTAGGAGTATAAAGACGGAAAGCAAGGAAAGAAACCGAAGTCTGAACAGGCAGGTTCTCCTCAGCTACATATTTTAAGTTTTCAGTTTAAGTGACAGTGAAGTTCACTTTTACTTCACTGACCTGAAGGATGAGCAAAACGGCCTGATGATGGAATAGAGTGTATACAGTGGTGTAAACAGTTCAAATATAAAATATCTCGATACTAGTGCTGCCAACTTGCGGTGATGACGGACTTTTGGAGTCAGAGTCTGTGCAGCAGTGATCATGAAGTGGAGCCATCCATCATCAATTAACTAATTAAAAACTTATCAAACACTTGAAAAACATCAGTGAGATAAGAACGGCCTGAAATGAGAGAAACCATCGTTTAACATTTAACGTCTAGCTCAATGTTTTTTTGTTTGGTCCATGTCCCATCTGCTAACATGGAGGAGGCAGGGTCTATGGCCTATACTGCAGCTAGCCACCAGGGGGAGATCGAGAGTATTTCTATTTACAATTGTGCACTGTCATGTCGTCCATCTTTGTTAACAGTCTGTGGTTTGACCGAGTTTGTTTCAAGCAGCCTTATTTTTAACAGGTGAATAGAATAATTACTTCTTTCAGTGTCCTGAAGAAGTTTCTCTTGAACATCTCCTCCTCCACCTGCTGCTCTCGACTGAGTTGTGTGAACTCTCTGCAGCGATGAGGCTTGATGCTCGTCCCGGTGAAAACCTGCTCATCGATGCTACTGAAGATGACGTCAAGAGACCTGGGCAGGATCCCTGCATCAGCATCTGGACCTGGAGGCACGAGAGTGTATGGTCATGTATTGTTATGTATGGTTATGTCATGTCCTCCTCCTCCTCCTCTTCATCATTGAACTTCAAAAACAGAATCAAACTTAGTGCTTTAAAGAAGCTGTGGATTTAAACATCACTTCCTCCTGTTGTTGAACTGTTGTAAAACTGTCTCAGGCCCAATTCACACCTGGTATTAACATGTTTCCTGTGATCACATCTCACTTCCTGTATATAATTCACAAATCAACATGTGGTCAATGAGAAGCATAAAGATATATGTAAATTTCAGCGGGTCAGAGATGTCAGCTGAGTCTGCAGTCCGTCACGTGGCCCAGGAAACATGTGCATTCTCAGATCACCTCTGAGTGATCTCAGGATGCGTTCCAACTTGAACTTAGCGCTGACCACTCAGGACAGAGGTTAACACCAGAACAGGGTTTAAATGATCGAGGGAGAGGAACAGACCTAAGAAGGTGAAGGTCTTCCCAGCGTTGGTGACTCCATAAGTGAAAACCAGCGAGTTTCCTCCTTCAAGAACATTTTTCACTAAATCCTTCACTGTGCCTTCAAACAGCTCTTTCTGCGTCGTCTCAGGACCGTACACCTGAGGAAGAAGGGAAACAAGCTCAGACATGACGAGTGGAAGTTTTTTAAGTGTCTTAAATGGAAGAAGAAAATATCAAAACAAGTCTGTGAAAGAAGATAAATCTGCCTGTGGCTCCCTAGTCTAGGAACAGACCTGAGAGAACTGGAAGCGTTGTCCAGTCTGTGGAAGTGATCTGTCAACGCTCTGTCTCGCCGACAGCGACAAACATGGAGGCTTCAGCAGGACTGCGTCAGGAGACTCGATGGCAACGCAATCCTGGAAAAAAACAGCTGATGTTCAGATTCACTAAAAAGCAAAGGAGTGTTGAGTGGGTCATAAAACTATTCCACAGAATCAACCCCCCTGCATATGAGAGTGTGTTTCTTTATTTTACCAGTGACTCTCCGTTACTTCTCTCTGCTGAGGTGAAGGGTCGGATTCGCAGGAAGACCTGGAGGTGGTCTCTCTCTTCAGTGCTGGCATTCTGCAGGAGAAACATAGGAGACAGTTTTTGGCTTTAGATTGAAGTTCGAATCCGGATTAGTCGACAAGGTGACAGGAAACCCCCAGTTAGTTCAGAGACATAGTGAAAACAGATCTAGTAGAGCTCAAACTTCTGCAAACAGTCTCCTCTGCCTCTGATTGGCTCTGGCCCTGGTATTCTTTGTGTGTGAAACCCCTGCACTCCTCCCTGGCATCACAACCATAACAAACCAGTCACTGAAGTGAGTGTAAATCTGGTCTGTGGAGTTCACTACAGCTGTCAGACATGAACTGAACTGTTCTGGACAGGCTGTGAGTGAAAATGAAAGTCAGTCAGCTGCTCTGGACACTTTCTGACACTTGGTGATGAGGGCCGACGCCGTGTGGACGAGCTGTAAACAACAACACTGATCTTTACACAGCAGAGTTTAGACGTCATGTCCCGCCTCCTGCTGCTCTACAGGCTCCACCCCTCACCTGAATGTCCCCACATGTTACTGATGTTGTGAACGAGTCGACGATCTGCTGCTCCACAGACAGACTACACTAAATGTCCACACAACCTTTGTCATCAATGTTGATCAAATGTTAAAATTATGAACTCATTCATCAATGTTTTCTTTTCCTTCACTTTTTTTAAATTAACCTGTGATTGTGGTAAAGTGCTGAATTCTGAAGAGATGTCGTTCTTCGGCTCGTCTGTGAGCTGCTCTCTTCCCTCAGCCTTGTTGTTCAGGCTCGATTCCATCATCCTGAAACAAAGAGGAGATTCAAGTTTCATAACGTTAATGCCTTATCAATGACATTGATTGGACTTTGTCTTGGTAGCTTCACCTGAACATTGACAAGTAAAATCACACACTCAAAATACACTGTGGAGAATGAACCTCATAAATACAATCTGACAATAGAATAATAAATCCTGAGCCTTGTACACATATTACATTATGAATGACTTTAAACAAAAATGAGCTCTAATGATTGTTTTTAATGTTTTAATGTTTTTAAATATTCTGTCTTTGCTTGCAAAAAAATAATAAATCCCCAAATCAATGTTGAAACTGTAACAGATAAAATATAAAGACAATACAGTGGCACCTTTAATTTATAATAATATATAATATTTTCCAAATATGAAGGATATTGGACAAACAAATGTACAAATCATTCCAGTCCTCTTCTAGTTTCACAACATATCGCACCATTCTTTGTCTAAATCAAATCAAATATACTTTATTGTGCCCAAGAGGGAAATGATGTCGAGCTCCAGCAGCTGCAGAACAAACATATTGCACAATTATTGTTCTTCTTCGGACATTTCTATATTTTAAATTGTCCGCGACATTTGTAAACATTTCTAAATTCATGCTCGGACAAAACAGCGACCAATAGATTCCTTGTATGTGTAAACGAGCCTGATGGAGAAAATATAACCGATGAGTCTGAATGTCAGATTAAACTGATTTAGATTCTGCTCCAGATTCAATCAGCTGTTGACGAACAGAACCCTCCAGCTTCAAGAGGCTGCGAAGTCACTGGTTTTAGCATCTTTGTCCCTGGACGAGTTTTGTGTAGCGACGTTAAAATAAGTTGTTAACGAGCAGAACAGAGATTAATCATGAATAACGTGAAACACCGAGAACCACACAGCTGAATGCTAACAGCTCAATGCTAACCTCTGACTGCTAACTGCTGAATGCTAACTGCTGAATGCTAAC